AATTGACACACGTGGAGAAGGGCAAAATTGAGGCAGCCACGGACAGCTTGGTGGCTGTGATGCAGAGTGAGATTCGCAAGCTGGAGAGGTCTTGATTTGGGTCGAGATATGACAATGAACTCGACGATCACATTTCGTGAGCCCACTGGCACTTTACAACAGCATGGGTGTCCAGTGAGTGTCGCCAACGACTACATTACTAGGGACCTTTCCTTCAACATCTCCACCTCTGCCGTACGCCAACTTCCTAGTGACAAAGAGGGATCTGGGATCTGAGGGAACCGGATGCCCCTTGGACGGATGGTCAGGCTATATTCCAAGCTGGTTTATGATTTCTGACTCGAATTTTTTTTTTTTTTCAATGATACCCCATATAGCAAGCATATAGCAACATATCACGGCGTGCGTGGGTTTCCGGGTTCGAGGTGATGGGATGGGATGGGATTTTGTGCCGGAACGCAGAGGGCATATTTACCTCTCTATACCTATATACCTATATACATACATACATACATGTATGTAGGTACTTGGCTAGTACTAGGTAACCCATCAATCTATCCCAGGGGCTGGATCGCACGAGATATGTTTCAAGACGAGTAAAGTGGTTCAAAGTTCTTGATCAGCACAGACTGGTCGTACTTTTACGCACATGATCACCTTGTACCTACCAGTACGTACGAGTACCGAGTACATACCGAACAAGTCATTGAGCCTGAGCCAGCAAGCAAGAAATGCAACCCAGCAAAAGCGAGTTACGTGCCAATGTATATCAAGTGATGGAATACCTGGTAATCGCAATCGCAATCGCAATCGCACGGCTTGGAGGTAAATGATCAATCACAAGGCGAATAATATTAACGTCCCAGCGGCGAAAAAAAAAGGGGCCGTACGAACGAAGAGACCAAAACCACAATTGAAATGAATGGATGCATCTGCCATCATGTCATATTATGCTATATTAATGCCCTTTTTTTTCCCCCTTCGCTCAGCCTCAACTCTCAGCCGTGCCCCCCGTGCCGTCTCCGCAAATCTTTTACCGTTCCCTCACTTAACTCAACTCACCACTCTGTGCCCTCTCTAACTACGCAATACGGCGTCCCGCATTGGTCATGGCCTGCATATTTCGCATGGGGCGGTTTTCAGCTCAGCTCCAAAGTGGCCGAGAGATCGGATGGTCGTTGCAAAGATTCCCATCCATCCAGCCAGCCAGCCATGGAGAGAAAACAAAAATGGGTAAGTGGTCAAGTCCAGCTGCTGTGCTGTCGGTCTGTCGACGAGTAGAGAACAAGGAAAAAGGGTCAAGTCAGGCGCGCAAGTTGCTTTCAGGCTCTACCGTTGGTGTTGGCCGACCGATGCGGTATGCAGTCACCATATAGTGCCATTTGCTGGTTTGCGACAACCCCCCAACTGAGAAAATCCAAAAGGATACGGGATCAGCGATGTCGTGCTTGTGTAGCAGGTCCTCCGGTAGTCATGGGATCGCGTCTTCCCATACCCCCATATCTCCACATCTGATCTCACACCCCGTCGGGGGGTGTGACATAAAGGATTGATTGCTTGTTCAGACATGGGGACTCCACCGCAACTCCTTTGCGGCCCGTTTTCCATATTTTCATACTCAGTGTTGACCCGTGCATCGGACACCGAAAAGAGGCAAAATGTAAGACGTGGTCTGCGTGCGCAGCGTCAAGGAAGGCAACATAAGACGATGCCGGCGCAGGGGCCAAATAGTAATATAGCGAGTGTATGCAGAGAAAGGTGCCAGATTCGATCAGGCCAATTGTGTTGGTCATGGTGCCCGGTCGCACGACCTGGTGTGGGTTACGTCGGTGCGGATGGCACGTCCGAAGAGGTTGAACAAGTTGCGCACAGCTTGCTGACCATGTTGACTGACATGATGCGTTGTCTGTTGAGCCAAGCCAGGTAGACCTCATGCTCGTTGTCCTAGTCGACCAGCTTGGCTTGCGTATAACGAGCATCAATGGTTCTTTGAAGTCGGCCGAGAAGAGCATCGGGTGAAGTGGTAAGTGGGAGTGGGCATCCCGATGTAGCCTGTCCTCTGCTTGACATTTCCCATACGCTTTGGTGAAGGCCGTTGAGGTCCCATGGGTTTGAGAATACCCGCGACATCGTAGTGGCCCCGACCCATGTTTGCTGAGTGATTTGGCGGTTTGGTAACGTGGAAGACTGGAAATTCAAACGATGGTATTCCCTCTTGTGTATCTCTTTGGTCGTACGATGCTGATTCCTGGACGAGATCAGAAGAAACTCTGTGATGAAATGCTCAGATGAGAGAAAGAAGAGAGCCCCTTTTTATGCAGGTCCCAACGGGTAGCGGTGTCACCATGATGGGAGATGGTGGCATAGGGAAAGTTAGGATCAGGATGAGGCGGAGGTATCAAGCATGGATGGACCCAGTCAGGTACCGAGTACCATGGTAGTCGAGAGCTGATCAGTCTTGTTTCTCTTTACGTTTGTGTGTGTTGCTATTCTGCGTCAGCTGTCAAAGATGCGGTGACTATGTGGCGTTCTTGGTCCCAGCGACACCACTTCCCCTAGTTTGTTTTCGTATGCACATGCAATGCATGGTCTGAATGGAGGGCGGATCGACTGGGCCAGGACCCTTGAACCCGAAAAATCGGTGTCGCCTTTGGGGATGGTGTGGTTGTTGGGTCTTGGGGGTGCCAGACTGCGCTTGCGCTACCCCTCTCCTTCTTGTGCCTGGTGCATCGCAGGAGTGGTTGAGTTGAGCCCGGCGCGGGAGCAATACGTACGCTCCAAGTGAGGAATCGGTGAATCGGAAAGGCCGCATGATTGTTTGCTTTCGCGGATGGTGCTTGGTGCTGGTGGAAGACAGGAAAATCTGAGGTCCAGAAGGGCGGTGAAGGAGGCTGACATGGTGCATGGCCCCCTGGCGTCGGATCCATTACGATTCCTTTTCCCCACGCGCAGTTATCCAAGTCTGCAAGTCCTGCAGTCCTGCAGCTAATCTAGCAGGCTGGTGTACCATCAGGCTCTGTTTCCAGTCTAGAGTTGCGATTGGCGTCGGGATATTAGGTACATCGCTTGGGAAAACTTGCGCCATCTTCCGCCTTGGACCTACGAGGACGACTATACCAGTAGCCATGTGGATTGGGACTGTCGGTGACGCCAGAAACAAGACATCATAGGTCCCCAGCATCTAGGCTACAGGCAGAAAGTGTACAAATCACCTCCTGGCATGTGCTTTCAACCTATCCTGCTGCACAGACCCAGGGAATTGGCCCTGGAGGGAACCAGAAGTCAAGGATGAGATGCCAGGATGTCCATCAGAAACAGAAAGATGACAGGAGACAGAAAGCGGACAAGGTCAACGTCAATGAATGGTCTTGGATGGTTTTCTCGAATGTCTCTGCATCCCCGACCCTGGAACTTGCCGTCTGCGCAGAACTCTTCCATCCACTTTGGTGTTCCCACCAACATTTCCGGAGTTGTCGGTCCCTCATCCCCCTGACGCCTGATGGCCGTTGTACTCGGAAATAATACATGCAAGGCCCACATACGCCTCATTTGGTGATCGACAGCGGATTGGGAAGGCCTTAGAGGTCAACACCCCCTTCAACCTCCACACCCTGTATCTCGCCCTTCCGGAACTTGTTGGCCATTTCCTCAAAGGTACACCATTCCACCCCTTCATGCGTGTTGATCCATTCAATGAGACGCTCGTGCAGGAGCGTGATTTGAGGCTTGCCGCTGACTTGAGGATGGATGCTGATGGGGAAGACAAAATGCTCGTATTCCCGGTAACAAAACTCGAAATGCTCGCGCCAGAATCTCTCCATTTGATGTGGATCGACAAAGCCAGCAGCGCCCTGGCCCCGCATGGTCTGAAAGGCAGGCCAATCGTCAACGTGCCAATTCGCTGGGACTTCGACCAATGTCGACGGCTGCAGAGATGACATAGGAGTCATCCATTCCCCGGCCGAGAGATTCTTGTAGTCGGTTTCCTTCCATGTGGCCGGTGGGTACGGGAGGTAGTACAACTGCGAGTCGTGATGCATGAAGGAGTGGTCATACTCCAGCCCGTGTTCCTCCAAGAGCTGCACTGTGTGGGGAGAAGGTGTCCACGCAGGCGCCGTAAAGCCTCTGGGTTTCTTCCCTGTAAATGCGGTGACCACGTCAATGGTCTTCTGCAGGACAGCCCGCTCCTGTTCTGGTGAGAGCTGGGAGACGAATTCATGCGTATACCCATGGAGTCCACTGGGCGGCATGTGCACCGCATCAGCAATCGTCCATCTCATCAAATCATTTCGGGGCCACCGGGGGAAAAGAGAAAGCGGTGACCAGGGGCTAGACGAAAGACAACCTACATTTCGTGTCCGGCGTCCCGCACCTTGGCCATTTGTTTAGGAAATGACTCAATCGAGTGACCTGGAGCGAAAAAGGTTGCCTTGATGTTATACTTTTGGAACAGTGCCAGCAATCTGTCAATGCCCACCGTGGCCCCAAAGACACCACGGGAGATGTTGGTCACATCAGCCGCCTGACCGGTCTGAGTGTTGATCCATCCGCTCACGGCGTCGACGTCCACCCCGTAACCAACAAGGACCTTTTTGACCATATTTGAGGGGATTGCAGTAGAGAGCAGTGGATGTCCAGCAATGGTGGTGATGCCGCGACTGGCGAGGAGAAGTTTTTCAACCTCGGGGACTTGCCTGATGTATCGAGAAACTCCGGAGCCATGGAGAAGCTAATGGTATCTGTTTGCATTGACAGATGGATAGAAACGGAGATGGTCGACGAGCAAGAGGATGGCAATGAAATCATTGTTGGTGATTCTCCAATGCAAGACACATCGTCTCCGCTGTACCAAGGAATCAGACTCCATCTTTACCCCAAACAACTTTTCACCTTCCACTTATGTTCACGCTTCTGCCGTCATATTGTTAGTTGACCTCTTGCACCGACTTGGATAGCAAGCCCCCTTGCATAGATCACCTCTCAGACGCCATGTCTGACAGATGCCACGTCTTTCTCCTGCCCTGATCCACGAGGCGACCTCCCAGAACCCGCTCCTTACGCCTCTCCTTCGAGTATGTCGAGACCTTCCCTCTGCTCGCAACGAGCTTCGGTGGCTTCAAGAACACGCCCGTGATGTCGTGGATGCAAAGAGATATGCTAGTCATGAAAGCACAAACAATCTCTCGCTACCTGGACTGGATGCGACTGAAGAGGCGGGCTCTTCCCACCGAGCGACTGCGTGGTTCGATGATGTAAAGATCGAAGATGGCCGCAGACCTTCCAACCCGTCACAACGGCATCCGACCATTAGGAAAACCTTGGGTGGACGACGAATCAGGAAAGTCGCTACAATTCCTACAGGACCTGTTTCAGCATCGACGCCTGAAACGCAGTCTGTGCAAATTCGAAAGCACGAGGTCGGAGGAACTGCCGACTTGGAAACAGAACTGCAAAAGTTGACGGTACGCAAGATTAGGGGTCAAACTGACCGCACGGGGACCAAGGCCTACAATGTCGGCAGCATGACTACCCTGAAGGCAGGAGGGACAAGACCTAATATCCGGAAGGTACCATTACACAATGAACAGAGCACTGTCCACACTCAGACCAACGTGAATGTCACATCATTGCATGACAAGAGTGTCCGTGGATTGCGAATAGCCCCTCCGTCCGACACTGATCTGGTCAATGGCGAAGCAAACAAGCATAAGCAGGTGCAAAAGGTCCTGACGCACAACGTGGGTAAGAGATCGAAAGGCATGCCACTCCAATACATCATGGGCAACCAGCCATTCGGCAACCTCGACATACTATGCCGGCGTGGTGTCTTAATTCCAAGGCCAGAGACAGAGATGTACACGGAAAAGGCGGCCAACTTGCTATTGTCGGCACTTACCTCGACACGTCTCTCGACTGGTTCTGGGCTGCAGAGTCGGAAGAAGTTCCGGATTCTGGACCTGTGTACAGGAACCGGATGCATATCCCTGCTCCTCCATTCGATACTGAAGCCACCCGTCAAAGCCTCTGGTTACAACTCGGTCAATGCACCAGATATAAGTGTCGAAATTCTTGGACTCGATAACAACCCCCTTGCCATTTCTCTGGCTCGGAAGAATCTAGCACACAATATGAGACAGAAGCTGCTACATCCCGATGCCGGTAATGACGTGTCCTTCCAAAACATAGATGTATTGGGTTTGGCAAAGAAAGGCGGTGACGGGGAGGATAAGCAGCACCAAATCAGCAAGATCCTCAACGAAGTTGCATCTGACGTGGGCAGCGGAGAGAAGAATAGCTCCTCGCCACCTCTGCCATGGGACATGATCATTGCCAATCCTCCCTATATTGGCCCCAAGGATTACGAGCCTGGCGGAAAGACAGAGCCGAGCGTGCGAAACTACGAGCCTAAGGAGGCGCTTGTTCCCACCTTTGGTCGAGGCGAAGACTGGCACCGTTACCAATCGCCTTCGATCCTTTTAGCCGACTTGTTTTACTGGCCGCTGATGCGCATCGCGAGAGCCGTCGGCGCCAAACTCCTAGTCATGGAAGTCGGCGACTCGTCACAAGCGTCCCGCGTGTGCAAGCAGTTCTTCCAGAACTACTGCTCGCCCGCGGTTCTCGAGCAGCTCACGCCACGCCTCGAAACATGGAGAGATGACGGCTCGATCAGGATCCTCCCAACCCAGACGTCTCCCAGTTTTGACGCCGATTTCGAAAACGCCACCGACCCAAGCGTCTCGGATCGGGCGGTCGTCGTGTGGACGAAGGACATGGCCGACTGGCGCCGTGACAGCCAACCCCGCTTGCTGTCTTGAAGTTGACAAGATCCTTTCCTTGATTTGGACGGTGAAAAGGGGTGGCACCTGACCGAGTTTAGGAAGCTTTGACAGGTGAGAAAGAGAGAAGACAGGGATGGGCGGCTAATACAAGACAGACATGGACATCAATGGCCTGCCTCTTCTTTGGGATGGAAAGGAGATGATGGGTCGCCATTATGAGAGCAAGTCAAGTCAGAGCAAGTCGGTCCGTCTCGTATTCATCATCTGTACATACGAGTATGATATATGTGCACATATGTGTATATAGTAGACCACAAACAATATCCATAACTCGTTCGTCATCTTTTCGTGGTCCATGTCCCCTGCTCCCCTTTTCCCCAACCACAAGGCCTCTGCGCCAAACACATTTGTAGATAGATAGAGACAGAGAGGGCGAGGCATAAACACGTAGGTAGACAGATACCTAGCACTCAACAGACAACCACCCTTCCCTCCCCTCCGTGTTCCCCTCCCCTTTCCCCTTGATGTGCTTGTTTGCGCAAGAGTATAAGCCAAATTAAAACCGCCCCCTTTCCTTTCCTTCCCCTCCTCCCACCGTCGCCTCTCCATTCCTCCATTCCACCCAGGAGGCAGAACTTCCTTGTCCCCAGGACAGAGAAACGCCACTCACCGTGCGCGGTGCGCAAAAGAACCCCTAAACTCAAAACGCAGACGAACAGACCGACCAAGAACACAAAAACAAAAGGCCCCCTCTCCTTTTTTTCTCTCCAAGTCTCCCCACCATTTACTTCTCCTCAACATCGCTGGGGGTTGGTTGACAACCTCGCCGGTCGATATTGGGAGTGATGCTAGATAGATAGATAGAGACAGACAATGGACAATAGACGCTCAGATTTCCGCCCAATAAATAACAAGGAAATTGCTCCAACCAAAACCCAGAATACGGGTCGATATGAGCCCAAGGGTGGAAAGCCAACAGTGGGCGGCGTGGCGTAGCGCTGGCGCCGCTCCCATTTTCCCCCTCTCCTCCTTCTCCAGAATCATCCTTCACAGTCCACGTAGAATGACAGAGAGGAGAGGTGGCGAAATCATAAGTCATCTCATCTTGCATTATCGGGTTTCCTCGCATATACAATGTTCATGCGGTGAATGGCATGAACCTTGGGATTCCGCAGTTCATTCCGGACAGTGGCGCACAGGGCTCTGACTTCGTCGGCGGTCCACCCCAACACACTCGTCAGCAACCTCAGTGTCCAGTTCTCCAGGCCTGTTTCGATATGTGCTCTGCACCACTGACCAAGTTGCTTGAAGTTAGGGTCCTTCGGCCACGGTCCGATGGGCCACTTGTATCGGCGCTCTGTGACGGATTCGAAGCCTGCATTGACCATGTGTTGGTTCATGGTCTCCAGGACCTGCAATTCCCGCTTCAGCTTGGCATGACACTCGGGGCCGACCTTGTTCCATGCTACAATGCCACCGTCCGGAGGGATACTGTTGTCGTCGCTGGTGAATTGCGCCGAGTATTCCGCCTGCTCGAGCCACCCGCCGGGCTTGAGACAGCGCATGCATTGCGCGTACAAGGCCGGCCAGTCCTGGATGGTGCCATGGAGACCGCGAATATGGATGAGATCGAAGAAGTTGGAGTCGTACGTCCATTCACATTCCATGTCATCAATCTCGAACCGTACGTTAGGCGGCACCCACGTAGGTTGAATTGGAGAGAGGTCTGTCCCGGTGACCACTGCCGAAGGGTATATGTCAGCAACATCGATGGCCCAGGCCCCGGTACCAGTGCCGAGATCGAGGATCTGAGATGGATTGGGATTGATGGGCGCGAGGAAGAGGCGGTTGTTGAGGGTTTTCAGATACAGGTTGTGGCCGATATCATGGTGCTGATTAGCCTCCTCGTCGTTCGAGCCCCTATAGCAAGAGCGTAAGCAATTGGTGATAGAGACATATATGCTGATAGCATACCAGTACTTCCCATCCTTAAAGGCGTGGTAGGTCCGCCCATTTTCTACGCGGTAGTCCCTTATCCACGACGATATAGAGGTGGTTTCAGTCAAGCTGCGACATGTCAACTCCAACCATGGCCAAAGAAGCCAAAGAGATCACTCACGCTTCGTCTCCATATGCCGAGTCATTATCACCATCTTCCAGGTCCTATAACAGGCGCTTGTTAAGGATGCCTATCCGGAAATATGCCGCGCAACCATCTGAACATTGACTTACTGGATCAGCAGTTATTCGACTGGAGCGGTGACTTTCGGTGTCGGTGTTGTCATCTCCCTCTGGACACATAGTGGCCAAATGGAGCTCACAGCTTGCTGACTTAATGTCTTTCCCTGGTGTATACCTAGATAAGGTATCTCGCAGGTGGACTGTTATGTGACAAGGGTGTGTACAAGGGAAAGGTGGAACAAGGCCCCAGCTCGCGTGATGTGCGTCACGAAAATTGTAAAAGGAAATTGGAAATGGTCTCGGGCACAGGGGGGTGTGGAACCCCTCTAATTTTGGCCAGATTGGGACAGAGAGAAGTCTGTGCTTATTATTCCATTGAGTTTCAAAACGTTGACTGTTGAACGGGCCGAACCGATATTGTTTTGGATGTTGACAATAGTGCTCACCATGCTTAGGAAACGCGTAGGAGAGGCCCTCTCAGCCATGGGACGGTGAAGAGAAGAGAAGTCAGAAGGGGGCGAACAAGTTTTAATCAGTTTCTGGCGGGCAGTTGTCGAATTCCATCCTGGGGCGCTGGGGGATTTGTTGCGGGGCACAACGTTGAGATGCCGAACGGGACCATTTGTCTGCCGTAACGGATGGAGCAGAGATGCCCGCTTTCTCGACCTGGTGGGCGACCGGTCTCGACTCGTTGCGGTAGCTAGTAAATACCGTCAGTAGGATCTTCCAACAGAGTTTGTAGGACGTGTCTAGTCGGAACATGAAGTCGCTTTGATTTGTCTCCGGAGGTTCCAGAGCCTCGCTAGTGCAGGGTGGAGGCGGGAAGCGGGATGGCGTCTGGAGACGGTCAAAGCCACAGCAATCCTCCGGCACGTGTTGTCTGAGGGCGGGGAGCTGCGAGGCTAGAAAAACGACCTGCAGGCTTGTGAGGCAGTGAGGTTGATTGGGCGTCGGTTCGGAGGATGTGCAAGTAGGTGATGCTTGGCTGTTGGATTCAGCTCTGTCTTGTCACCCTCTGCCGCTGTAGCGCATGCATGAGGGATTATGAAACCCGAGGTATTGAGCGGGTTGGGGGAATTGTCCTCGTGTAAAGCCTACTCCAACACGAATCTAGCTCCCTCCACGGCCCTCTCCATCATCTCGTGGGCAACAGTGAGATTGGGGAAGGCATGGAAATAGTGAGGAAGACCATGGTAATAATCGAGCTTGCTTTTAACCCCGCTCTCTTTGAGTCTGTAGTCCAAGACAAGTCCGTCGTCTCGAAAGCAGTCCTTTTCCGCATTGACGATATAACACGGAGGGAATTTGGATAGGTCGTCCGCGAGACAGATAAGGTGTCGTGGGCTGTCAAAGTCGATGCCAAAATGGGCTGTGCAGGGTCAGTGAAAGATACAACACGGTGCGAATGGCACTTACACCAGATGAATTTGGCAAGCTCAAGACCAAACACGGGAGTGCCAGCGTGCCCATTGTCTTCCCATGAGGTGTACATATGCTTGTATTTTCCCTTGTAATTCCAGGAAAGGGTTACGCCAAACAAAAGGATGCAGCCAGTGATGGACGTATAATCACCCTCGGACATGAAGCGGTATGCTACTTCTGCTGCGAGCATTGCACCAGCGGAACCGCCGCATACGAGTGTCTTGGTTGGATCATCTCCTAGCTCTTTGGCTCTGCTGCGACACTGGTTGAGTCAGAACTCTGAGAAGTACCATGTGGAGCGTCTTCTTACCCAAGGCACCGCCTGGCTAGCGAGATTGATGATGTCGTCAAGTTTGACTTTGGGAACTTTGGGATAGTCGACACTGATGACCAGGCACGGTACTTTGGCGGCGAATATCCGGCAATGGGCGTCCTCGGTGTCAAGATTGCCAGCAATGAATCCTCCACCAGGAAAGTAAATCATGAGAGGCAACGGTTTGTCTGAGGCCGGCTTGTAAATTCGGACAGGGAGGTCACCATGTTGGCTGTCAGTCTGCTCATCCCCTGAACGGTGCCTGTCAGATATGGTCCCCTGTATCAATCGTTCGATGATCAGTTCAACCGCAGGTGCACTCACAGACTTGCAGTTCTTCAGGTAACGGCGGCCATTGCTTCGCAAGCCCGGCAAAGACGGCATCATACGTGGGAACATCAATAGACCAATCGCCTGTCATGATATACCGGCCGCCAGATGCGTCCTCGAGCTGGAAAACTGTCAGTTGGCCTGACGATGCGGTATGCGGGGTTCTTCTTCAGCGAAAATGCCATTTGTTGAGGAGCGAACACGAGTTAAACGAGAGAAGATGCTCACTGCCAGCCATTCTGGTCGGTAGCCTTCTCTAGGCCAGTTCTTGTTGGGCTCTGCTGCCATGGTTTGTAGGAGTGCTCGGGTAATAAAGACTGTGCGACAACCGCCCGGAAGTGAAAGATGGCACCAGCAGTGGACAACTGAGCAAGTGAAAAAGGGTAGATGCGCCACAAATGTCGACCTTCCAAAACTGGACTACTGGACTCGAGCCACAATCCATCAAACTGGGTGTAGCCGTGAGATAACAGACTAATATAATCTGAAATACCCAATATTATGGCGACGAATCACCCGTGTCTTGTAGACAAGCATCGTGAAAGCACAAACAGCAAAGCCATAGATGATTCGTGGAGAGCTGAAGGCTTCATCTCAAGTAGAAATAAATAAGATAAATAAGACAAGGGAAATCTATCCAGTCGTGCCAGTCCAAATGGTGACATCGTGGTGATGGTTTCGCGGCGCACATCTTCATTCTCCAGCAAGACAGTCGCTGCAACATGTTCACCTTCTGCGGCTGCCCGTCTTCTTCAAAACTGAACACAATCCTACCTCATCCACCTCTCACTCAACTCATTCAAATGCAGCTAGCATCAATGTCTCCCACGAATCAGGACAATAGCGACCTCATCTGGGGATTCATCATCGTTATCATCCTCTATTTGATCATCGCCTTACCGTTTGTGTGTTGTACGTGGGGTTGTCTGTATGTCCTGCTGTGGGCTTTGAACCAAATGTGAAGAAACTGTTAGCACCATTCACATAGCACAGCGTCAATTTCCAGTCAACACAACAAAGGGTGGTGTCTGGCTCGATGAACTTCATCTGGTGGACACAGGAGAAAGAGCAAAAGAGCAAAAGAAAATGCATTGTTATGCACAACACTTTGCATTGATACAGCTACTGCGCCACCGTACTGCGAACACCAATTCGACAACTACGGCATGCGACGCGGCAATGCATGCAATTTACGAGGAACCTCGGCCTGTGACTTGCAAAGAGAACCCTTCTCATGCAAGTATCATACCAAGTATAGAGATACAGTCTTCCGAACCAACAACGAGATGGCTGACCAAGAGCCGTCTGGCAGCATTGCGCCTCCGCGTCCATCTACCCCTACTTCCCCACCAACAACCATGGAATATCCATTTGCAACCTCACCCGATATCCTCCGCACGCATCAGAAGGACGCCTACATCACAGGAAGCATCTCGTCGCAAGCATCCACGATCCTGCGCGCCCTCCTCGGCGCTCGTTTCGCACACAAATACTCCGAAGCCACAAACCAACTCTCCGAACTCCTTTACCTCTGCATAACTACACTTCTGGGAAACCGGACGCTGGGCGAGGAGTATTGCGACGTTATCCAGGTGGAGGACGACACATTGAGACTTGCGGGCCTGGGAAGAAGAATCGGATACATCGCCAGTGTGGTGTTTGCGCCCTGGATTCTGGGAAAATCTCTCCCTGCGCTGAGGAGAAGGCTGAGGAGTAAACTCGAGTGGAACATCGAACATGCCAAACAGAAACAGCAGCATAGTAACTCGAGACGCTCCCCTTCACCCAGGAGCCTCAAGTTACAAGAATACATCCTCAAACACCTCGACACCTTGACCTCCCTCCAGCCCATCTACGCCCTTAGTCTCGCAGTCTTCTACTTCACGGGGGCGTACTACCACATCGCCAAGCGACTGTTTGGGCTGCGCTACGTCTTCACGAAACAGATCAAGCCTAACGAAGAGCGGGTCGGGTACGAAGTCTTGGGGGTACTGCTCGTGCTGCAAATGGCCGTGCAGTCGGTGCTGCACGTTCGAGAGACATACATGGACGCGACAGCGTCCACAACCGGGGCAGAGACAGCGGGGCATGCCAACACCGCGGCCATGCTCGCTAACGGGATCGAGATCCCCATCCCCTCGAGCCTCGAGACCTCTTCGACCGGCCAACTGCTCTCGGCCGTCCCCGTACCCTCCCATCTCCCACCGGGACTGTCGGCGAACACGGCGACCCCGATCCTCGACGCCCCGCGCTACGCCCTCGAGGAGCACGACGAGACCATGGCCTGGATCCCCGCCGGCCACCAGCGCAAATGCACCCTGTGTCTCGAGCCGTTCCGTGACCCGAGCGTGACCACGTGCGGCCACGTCTTTTGCTGGACCTGCGTGCAGGACTGGGTCAAGGAAAAGGCAGAGTGTCCCTTGTGCAGACAGAGCGTGCTTAGCCAGAAGGTCCTGCCGCTGAGAGGGTAAAGCATGGATCGTCTACATAGCATGTCGATGAGGCCACATGAGCGATGGATGTATTGTACAATAATGAATTCTTGAGACGGCCACTAGATTGACTTTACACTTAAACATCCATCCATCCATGCCTGCATACATGAATGGGGTAATCCCTTTACTTCTTGCTTCAATTATGCTATCCCAGAGTTCCGAGTATGCAGTGCAAATCATCATGCCGGTCTACCTCGCAATGTACGTAAGTATGTACCTCTTACAAGCCGAGAAGCAGTATATATCCGTTCATTCCATTTTCCTACGCCGGGTAATTCGCCATGTCCACGGAGGGATCGTCCTTGCGACTCAATCAATAGTGTAGTGCTCTCTCCCTCAAAGGATGGCCGGACAAATTATGACTGTGGTGAGACAGACCACTAAGCCAACGCGACGGCACCTTCTTTCTTTCCCACGCGAGGACTCTCGACATCATCCTCGCCTTCGTCACTGATCAAGCCTTCGAGCTCAAATTCCTCGGCGTCCCGGACTTGCTGGCTAGCGGTGCCTCGATGTCGGGGTATTCTCGCGCTGCCGTTCACGGGGCCATTAGCCCCTCCGTTCATCCCGACACCCGAGAGGGTGGACATCTTTCTCGTGTGCTGTCCACCGAGACCACTGGGCCCGGCAATACTCAGGCTCCTCCCGGAACCGGAACCGCCTGCGCCATAAGAGGAGCGCACTCCGTTGCTCTCGTCGTCCGGCCATGCATGGCTCGCGTAGACGTACAGCAAGATATTCACAAACAGATAGAGTAAGAAGGCGATGCTGTAGAGGATCAGGATGTAGGAGACATGCGTGACGTCCGCGTCGGAGAGAAGGTGCATTTGTTCCTCAGTCGCGCCCATGAAGAGGAAGCCGGAGGCATACAGGAGCTGTACACAATACCCATTAGCAGACCGTAACATGAATGAAGGGGAAATGCAGAGACTCACGAATGGAGGCAAGTGCTGCCAGCTGTTAACCTCGCCTGAGCCACGGCTGTCCTTGAGCAAGAAGGAGATCTCAACAATTCTCGCCGCACCCGCAGCCATCAAGGTGTATCCAAACACCGTATGCACCATGGTGCTCAGAGGCAGATCCTGGGGGTGCGCGCTCATGGCCCAGCCTGTCATGAGGATTACCAGGCCGGGCAGGATATTTCTTTTTGGTCGTCCGTTCCTCGATCTCGACAGCCAAACGCCCAGCAAGCCCGCGCACCACCAAACGATCCCCATGCTCGTGTGCTGCAGATCGTTCTTGACCCACGGATGGCCCCAGCGGTGTTCTGTAAACGTGTTGACACAGCCCCATGCGGCGATCACGCAGCTGTCGAAAAACTCCTGGCTTCTGCCCGTCCTCCTCAACCATGCTTGACCCACGAGTAGGAGGAGAGTCATGATGATGCCGTACGCGATGAACGCCGACCCCATGATGAAGTGCGCCAAACACTGTCCCAGATGGTCGCCTCGACAGTATCCCATAGCGACGATCCCTCCAAAGAGCATTTGCGCCCATGCGACAATGGGCATTAATTTTCCCAACCAGCCGTGGATCATGACCACACCTCTCCGCCCACCTCTTCCCATTTTCCCCCCAAATACCCGCCCGATCCACCCTTTCTTCTCTTCCAGATGCAACTTCAAACCGACACCTAGACCAACCTGAATGAGGAGCATCAACACCAGGCTATTGGCAAAACTCGCGTGGATGTTCGGGTGGCGAAATTGTCGCCCTTTGTGCATATGTCCCAAGAAATAGGCAACGGTCGCGACAACCGTGCCCACGATTTGTAAAGGAACATGCCAACGACTCTTGATGATTCCCAGAACCATGCCATAGGGAAAGATCATGCCAAATGACACAATCATGAGGAGGATGTGAATCCATAGCCGGCTATCCAGGGGATCAGGGGAGACGGCCTCTCCTTCGGGAATCTTGTCCGTGTGGCCGCCATGAGCCGAGACAGATGAAGCGAATAAAATGAGGGGGAGTAGACATAGGAGGGGAGTTGGTTGCTGATCTCGTCGCAGGATCCGTGGGAAATACATCGCGAACCGGACGGTGCTGTGAGACGGGGGACGAGGGGAGACTCTCGACGAAGTTGATGGGGCAGTTGTTGCCAGTTAGGGGCTGAAGTACATTGTACAAGGATGCTAGATTAGCAGATTGACGGTTGATGAGGCGGAAAGAGAGAAACCATCGGCTGATATGATGCTCGATTCACGTCCACGCCGCATGCGCAATAATGGCACAATGGATTGTCGTGCTGGGAAAAGATGTTGCCTCTCCACAAATGGCCGGTTCATGCCGGTCCATCACGCTACATGTCTTCTCCACTTTTCATGCGTTATACATAGCGAGACGTGTACCGTAATCGTCAATGCAATTGGTATCATTCGATAGAAGATGCCAACTAGTCTGGCAGATGAGGTTTGCTCGGACATTTCTGGCAACAGGATAGGGAGAAACAATACTGCAGCGTCTGGCGCATTAAAGATATCTTCATATCTAGTGTAAGCTATACATCCGTCTTCAATAGACACTGATCCTGCGTTGCATCTCTACTTCGTCCACCACCACGTTGCCAGATCAACCACATTCACGCTTGCTTGTCGACGTAGAATTTCTCGATCTCACAAGGGAGCTCGGCTTGTCCACAGGTCGAGCAGAAGAGGAATTGCATGCTGCAGATCGTCTCCAATCTCTCGCACGTTGTCTTGTCTGTCCTGCTCGAGTTCGTGCATTCCAACGCATCTTGCTCACATTGAGCATTGCTTTCGAAGCATTCGACCTTGTTGGTAAATCTTTCGACTTTCGCACAGGAGTTCCTTCCCGAAACAATGCAGCCTCCCTCCGACCTTGAGCCAACGCTGATCCAAGCCGGATCCCGATACCACCGTTCGGGATCATCATCAAGACACTCTCCGACAGTAACAGCTAACAACAGGTCAGTGAATCTTTTCGACGCGCAGAGCAGACCTGGTACGAGCCTTTCCATCCTCTTTGGGAGACCACGTCCAGGATATATTTGGTAAGGTCGATGGCTGACGTGCGGACTGTATCGTGCTGGATCAGCAGCATCCTGCTTCCTTGCTCATCTCCGCTCTCTAACGCCTGGTCAACCCTCTCTGCCATTGCAGTGAAATTGTCAGGATCCATCCAATCCCCGCTGTCAAATGCATACGAAATGACATGGTATCCAAGGTCTCTCATGTCGCTAAGACAACCGGTGTGGTTGCTGCATTGGAGGTAAGGCGGCCGCATGTATGCCGGATATTTGCCTAAGATGTTGGCGAGTGCCCTCTCGTTCTGAGCCATGTCGAGCCGGCGAGCTTGCGACCCCACCTCGTCCATGTTATCATGAGACCAAGTATGGGAGGCAATTTGGTGCCCCTCCTGGACCATGCGCTTGATCACATCCGTCCACTTGCGCGTCGTGTCGATGGGACCTTTGCCATTGCTATTCCCTGTAATGAAGAAGGTTGCCTTTGCACCAGCTTCGTCGAGAATATCCAGCAGCTCATCGGTGTTTTGTGATGGACCATCGTCATATGTAAGGGCAATAGTTTTCGGAACGTAGCAGTTGCGGATGGGTTGCCCATATACGATCTGGCCTTCCTCTCCTCTTGGATCCACTGACATATTGTACCCTGCTGGAGTGGTGTCAGAGTCGCAAATGCCAAATTCTTGTTGGCAATTTACTGGGACAGCACAGAAATCAAGACCAGTCCCCTAAGCCGTGTTAGTAAAGCGACACATTGTCCAAGGAACAGCCACTAACGCAATAATCAAAGCGGGAACAACACTGCGGAAAGGGACAGGAGCTGTTGCCGTTCGATGGACCACATCTCTCCTGAGTGCACGTTCCAAAAGCTGGTTGGCACCCTTCGCCGCAGAATTCGCTGGTGATACCCTGCTTCGGTCAATACCTCATTCTTGCGTGGGACAGCGAGACAAACACATAGACCGTCTGAAGAACAACACTGTCCGGCACTGCAATGTTGTCCATCATGATTCGGACCACAATACTCGACGGTTGTAGCACGATTTGTGCCTTCACTTGCATCGCAGATTCTGCAGCGGCGTCAGGTATCGTCAGAGTATATCGTCTTTCTGTAAACTTGCCCGTATTGCTCTTGACAGCCTTGACCGCAATAAAGAGTTCCATTACCTAGAAGGGATATGATCAGCTGTCGTCCGAATGATGTGAACAAAGGTGTGGTACCACAGAACCCCTATCAACAGTCAGAACAAATCTCTGGACATGGTTGACTCAACACACATATGATGAGCAGCACCATCCACTGCCAGGAGTATTTGGATCGCACGCCACTCCAGTCACATTTCCGCAAACGATTTGCTTCGGTTGCTCGCTCCCAGCGTTTAATAATGTAGATTGCTGGTCGTCAGAGTCAAGACTTGAGGGGGTTAGAGCATCAACGGGAGACGTCTCCTCTGCTTTGGCCAACCACACTGGTGCATGGAGAACAGCAAGCAGAAGGGAATGGGGTTTCATCGTGATGTGAAACTGCGTCGAGCTGGAACGGGAACCAAGGGTGTGCACAGAGAGAGTTAGCGCCTAAAGAGCAATCGACGATATGAAATAATGAATGCAGCGGTACCGATGCAGACGAGCTCGACAAAACTTCAGAACGAAGGATGACCAGTGCAATGATGGCGTAGACGGGCCAGAGAGAGATGAACACAGAGGGGAAAAGGTGTTAACTTGAACTGTCCAGGCCAACGCCCACGTCGAAGGCGCGAGGCGCCTGCTCTCAAGGCGGATCCTTTCCAGACAGCAGGAAGCGATGGCCGTCATGAGGCTCACCGGCAGAGCATCGCAACAGCAGGAGCAGACATCGTAGCTTCATCCCAAGTTTCCCATGTACTTGATTGCAGTGTCTTCGTCTCGCGTCAATTCGTCTCCCATAGTTGCTAAGCGAAGCAGTACAACTGTTCTAAAAATCCCGCAAGCATTAATTTATTTTTGAAGCCCCATCTAACCCAGACTGCTCATTGAAAAGATCCTGGTATATCGTTAGGGTTCCCCTTAGACTCTTCAGTGGGCGTCACTGGTACGGAATGGAATGCAGAGTCGGTGGCTTCGTGAGTGGATGTTGGTGTGAGGACGTGGCCTCCCTCGTGCTTTTGTTCAGCATCGCCGTTCAAATCGATTTTGTCAAAGCCATCAACGGGCGCCTGTGTTTCCGAGGAAGGGGATGCTACGCGGCCAGGATTCCGCGGCGGTAATGCTGGAGGGACACGTTTGGGAACTTCAACCACTCTCGCACGGGCCATGACTGGCACAGCTGTCGAGACCTCGACATCAGAATCTACGTCTGAGAATGACTCTCTGCGCTCCTGTGGCTCTTCAACCGCGTCATCCACGAGTTGGCTGTGTTTCTTTGGAAAGTCAAGTCCTCTCATCGACGTCCGTCGAGGGCTGTTTCCAGCACTTTTCGTTTCGTCCTCATCCGTCTGGGTACCTCGATCGACACTAGCGAGGCTGTGAGTGCTTTCTCTCCAAGTCCGACTCCGAATTGAGCCATCGACACTTCGACGTGAGAAATGGGAGTAGATCGGGCTGGTGGGTGACGGCTTGAACTCGAAAGCATCTGCACTAGGCCGTTGGTGAGTTCCTGCCTCTCGGATATTCAATCCTTCAGCCTCCAGGGCTTTCACTCCATATGGATCTGGATCATCCTCGGCTGGGATACCAAAGGTACTTCCTCCTGTAGGCAGTCAGTAACCTGATCGAAGCCGGTTCGCTAACTCTCACCTGGTGGCATGATTTCCATGTCACTCGGAGCCGGAGCATCCGGGAGCAAGCTGTCATCTACCTCGTCACCTTGAGCCGCCTTCAAGGTGTCGAGAAGGACCTGGTACTGCTCAACAGGTGCATATCGAACCTTGCCAACAAGGATATCTGTGACACTGATCTGTTCTCCATAGAATCTTGCATTTTCGTCGGTACGTTCAATAACAAGATTCCCTTCCAAGGCGACTCCAGCATAAAGACCGCGACTCTTCACGTATGACCAAATAGGAGCCTGGCGTTTGGTCAATTCGGTATCGAGCGCGCCACCGATTCCAACGGGGCCTGCTGCAACCCCGACCTCAGTCCCCAAGGTAGTCCTCCACTTTGTGAAAGCTCCCAAGGCTTCGTATGTGTTGATGACAAGGACTGTATCGTAGATGTCGACTCCTGCGAGGAACCCAAAGGAAAGATTTTGCGTCTGGATGCCACTGGGAGGACTCCATTCCCCAGTCTCTGGATGCCTGCCGACAAGAATGCCAGCACCGCCAGAGCCACCGAAGAGCCACCCGGTTCGCATGGTTGTGAATATAGCCAACCCGACAGCATTTTTTATGACACTTGCCGGAATCTTTTTCATAACCCTTTGTTTGCCTTGCGGGACACCCACCGTTGTTGCGTTCCGCTCTTCCACTTTCTTGGCCTCCTTCTCTTCTATCTGCTCATAGAAGCCGTCCTTGCAGAACCCACGCAGAATCCGAGCCGCCTTTTCTGATTCTTTGTCTAAGGTGGTGGGCCAAAATGCTTCGGAACCGACTTTGTTTGACAATCGATTGACAGGGGCTCCCAGTTTGTCAACAACCGCATAGGCTTTGTTGAAACCTGGTTTGAGGGCCTTCTCGTAGGCGGTATTGGAATATCCTTTGGTTTTTTCCCACACTGTCGATGTCCCAGACGTTGTTCTGGTTGAGCTCTTGGTGATTGAAGTATCCAAGGCTGGACTCTGCGCCGGTTGCGCCATGGCACCGGGTCAGGTTTGACAACGTGATAGTTTGGGGGGATTGGTCGTCCGATGGTCAGGGTAAACGGCGCACGCAGGATGCTCTTACTGTGTGCGAGCAGGTCACTTGCAGAACAATTGGACTCGGTGATTGGGAGCCAGTAATCTAGGACGGTTCAGTGTCGCGCAGCCAACCTTTGAACTCTCGAGGACTATTTGGGCAGTTTGACCAGCCAGTAATCCGGTTGCTGCCGGGTACGCAATAAAAGAGTAAGAAGCAGACAGGCAGGGCAACTAAGTGGTTAGACGTCATTGGCCTCAAGCGCATTTGTTGTGGGTGGTTGCGGGCAGAGGCATATCTTAGTCAGGACGCCCGTGATGCCCAAGACCAGGCAAGCGGGTGAGCTAGAGCCCAGAAGTCGTGAGTTGGGGGCTTCCACGTGGGCCTAGTGAGCCTAGGAGCCTAGGGGTCTAGAGACCAAAAAAGGCTGCTGGTCTGACAAAATCACATGCCTTTGACGGCACGAGTTTGACTGTACTATCTCTGACTTGAGTAACTGCAAACTCCTATGCAAGACGACATTTCATCAGTACACGGCTGACTCGAGTTGATCTCATCTCTCAGTGGCCATGGGTCTTTGTGTTGAGAGCAAGCACATAATCTGACGCTTTCACCTGGCAAGCTGGTTGTCCTGCGTGTCAGAAGCCAGAGAAGCAAACAGAAGGTGCTGCACCTCGGCTCGCCAGAAAAACGTTTGTTCGACTAATCATATCTGAACGTTGGCAGAAACATTCAAAACAGTCTTCAATCCGTCGTCGAAACCCCAGCAAACCTCAACCTTCCACGAAATCAACTATTCGTTTCTTTTCTATAGCGATCAATTAGCCATGCCACCGATCCCACCTCTTTTCGTGCTCCAAGTTCCGCCGACGTTGAATGCTGGCTCAAATGCTCAAGGCGAGCAAGGAAACTTCATTTGCACCCAGGCCGCTCCTCAAGTATACCTCCTGTCCTTCTCCAGCCCGCCGGACAACCGCCTCACTCCCGCCTTCAATCAAACATTCCTGCTGGCACTTGACATTATCGAGCACCGTCTCCCTCGGGGAGTGGTCATAACGACCTCATCCATCACCAAGTTCTATTCCAATGGGCTGGACTTTGAGAACGCTATCAAGGACCCGACTTTCTTCCCAAACAGTCTTTATCCCTTGTGGCGTCGTTTGATCAGTTATCCAATGCCCACAGTGGCATTGATAAATGGCCATGCTTTCGCCGGCGGCTTGATGACCGCCATGATGCATGATTATCGCATCATGAACCCTCACAAGGGGTTTTTGTGCCTGAACGAGCTGGATTTTGGTGCAGCTCTTCAACCGGCCATGGCAACAGTGTTTCGAGTGAAGTTAAACATGACGACTTTCAGGAATATGGCTCTGGAGAGCAGAAGATTTCCCGCCCTGGAGGCCTTGAAAGAGGGCATCATTGATGGCGTTGGGGGCGTTGAAGAGACGCTCGCCTTCATTTCGGAGATGAAGCTGGCCCAGAAGGCTCAAGGAAAGTCATATGGTCTGATCAAGGAGGAACTATACCGAGAGGTGATCAAAGACCTAGACGAAGGCGCTGATACCCGCGCAAAGCTAGCCGCGAGAGATCTAGATCGCAACCGTCGGGGACTGGAATCAAGGAGAAGGGTCGACGAGTATCAGGCGGTGGTGCAAAAGGCGAAACTCTGATCACAAGCAGGCATCGGGTGTAACGACTGTTGAATGCGTCAGAGGTTATCCTCCGGAATGTTTTCGGGTTTGAGTGCCTATGTAACAGGATTGGGAACCGGTGAAAGTGGCAGGCTGCGGTGATTACCAGTGTAATGGCTGGATTGATGAATCAGAGCCATCCTCCCATGCCTTGTGGTCCATCGTGCTGTGCTACACAGACATCGAGACTTGAAATACTATAGCCAGTTGGTATCGGATCCTGGTATTCTGTGACTAGCATCATTGAACGTTATCTATAACTCACCTGATTCTTCGTATACTCTCGTGCGATAGATAGTGATAACTACCGATATCCTGTAGATATGAGTATTGAGTAATAGCCAGTTGGGGATACTCCGTATTATGTGCGAACAAAACTAGGTGCACAAGCAGAGTTTTATGCACCGTTTATGCAAGTCTCACGGAGAGTGGATACTGACTAACTGTGACTGGCAAGAAACGCGGAATACGAGCCTCAACAAACCGTGGGCAACCAAAACACCCCGCGTCTTTGCCGGGTGGCCAGTCGGCTACGGGTCCTAAGCGCCGACTCCCGTAGGCAACAGCCCGCCTGAAGGCCGCCCACGGCGCAATCTTTCAGGCATCAGGCATTACTGCTCGTACTCGATCATCGCTAAATTCGCATGCAATACCTAGG